GTAGGGGAGGGCTCCTCGGGTGCTGCTGCGCTGGCAGGAGCCTCCGGTTAAAATGCCCGCTGAACTTCATCGTGGACAACTTCGGCTATCGACAGCGAAGCAGGCTGGTTGGCCGTGGGCAGGAGTGTCTTGATTTCCTCCCGGACGACGTCCCGGATGACCTCGCGGGGTGTCCGGGGTGTTGCTGCTGTACGGCGAGGGGGCAGCGAAGCCGGGAAGGCTCTGGTAGTGATTGAAGAGCACGTTCGATGATTGTGGCCTCAGTGATGAAACCTTTGACAGTGGTAGGCGAGCTCCGAACAAGTCCTCCCAAGATGTTTTCCTTCACGCCGCGCATCGGGACCCGCAGCTTTTTCTCTTCAGGAGCGTTTGAGCCGTCGCGGTTCATCAGGCGGAGAACGTCTTCGACGAAGCTTGTGTCGCTCTCGTTCGGCCCTTGGGTTCTTGCTTGCATAAGTTCTTCGCCCTGATTTCGTCGCCGCTGGTTGGCAAAGGTCCGTCGGAGCTCGGTCTGGAATTCTTCCCACGACAAAATCGACGCATCGTGGTTTTCGTACCAGGTGCGGGCCATGCCTTTTGAAGCGAAGTAGACGTTCCGTAGGCTTTGCTCAGCCCCCCCCCCCCCCCCCCCCCCACCTGTTGAACCGGGCGACACGCTCGTACGGGCTGAGCCAGTCGTCCACACCTTCGCAAAAGTCGCCAATGAAAGTCGCCGGCATCCCTGGCGGGGCCCGCACGTAGAAGATGGAAGTCGTTGGTGTTCCGTCTTGCTGCGACGTGAAGCTAACAGTGGCCGTAGTCCTCGTTGTCTTCGGCCGTAGAGGGACGAATTTCGGGGGCAAGCCTTGGGTACGGCGGCTGTTCCGGGTTTCAGGTTTGTCAACGGGGATAAGCTTTCCGGGACTGGAGAAAGATCGAGCCCGACTGATCTTTTGAGGGGTACGTCTCACTGGCATGAAGCGTGGTACCCAGCACCTCCACCAAAATGTCACAAATGACAATTGATGAGCCGATGAAAACTGAATCAAACTAAACATTTAATGAAGCGAACTTGTGCTAAAAAAAAAAAAAATAGAAGGATAGTATCGCCGGCGTCGATGTCGGCAAAACAGCAAGATCGAGAGCTGGGACGAGACTGCCTCCGGCTTGCCACGCGGAGTCCCTTATATGTACCCGCGCCGCGTGGGCATCTGGAACATTCGGCCCGCTTGCAGCGTCAATGCGGCTAACAAGCGTAATAATCACGAAAAAATATTAATAAACGTAAAACATATGCGCTTAGCAAGTATGTTTTGTTTACAAATAATAGTTAAGGTAAATTCCAGTCAAGCCGGCTAAAACAAGAGACAATCTAAAATCAGCATAAATGCCGTTGGCTGTATTCAGCTAAAACAGCACACGGTCAAAGCGCACACGAATGCCCAAGAAATCTGAGAACTACCGTCAAATTACAACGCGTAGCGCGTTGTAATTTGGCGATCGTTCTCATATTTTTCGCTCGTTCCCAGATTTGCGCTCGTTCCCAGATTCCCGAAGGTTTAGGCCTTCAACTCTGCCGAAACTCAGACAAACGCGAGCGAGCATATATATATACACTCTGCGAGCGGCTGCTCTATTTAGATATGAACGGGAGCGACTTTGAAGCCTTGAAATACTTATTGTTTTTAAGCTGAAGGTATCCTTCAAGGAACGAAATCCACTCGTAGCCACGGAGTAGCAATACTTTGCCATGTCAACGGTTACCGCATCTCTATACGCCTCGCAAGTGGGCTCATTTTCGTCGTCTGCGCATGAGAAAAAAAGTAGCGGTGACGTCAAAACGCCGAGCCCTGATTGGCTGATCACGACCCCCTATCTGAGCGTCGTCTGCTCCTTTGCAACGTCGTCTGCGTCTGTCTTACCTTTCCTACGACTTTCGGAAGTGCAGGTCTTTACGAGCGAGCTCGACTTCGCCTTTCAAAGAGGACATACGAAAAAACTCGAGCGGTACGTTGTTTTTGTCTAACAACTAGCAGACGCGCATCAAGCAGGGAAGTCAAAAACTCACAGGCGAGGTGTCTCGAGGCGCCGAGGTTTGTTAGCTAAGAACCGAGAGTAAGGGTGGCTAGAGTCCGCAAGTTCCCTCCCAAATACTTTTTCCCTCCTTTCGTGTGTGGCGAGACTCCTCACTCTTTAACGGCGTCGGCGGGTTGGCGCAGTTAACGTCATCTACTTTACGTCTGCTGGTCAAAGCGATGGCTGCTTTACCTTTCCTGAGTCTGTCGGAGATTCACCGCTTTTTCACAGGCGAGAGTCACCGCTGCCTCGGAAAACAAGGAGAAGACAAGAGGAAGAGATTGACCTCTTAATCTAAAATTGAGGTCAGCGATCAAAGTATAATACGGGAAGGGTTCACAAGGATTCACAAGGGTTCACAAGGGTTCACAAGGGTTGACAAGGGTTCACAAGGGTCGCGCGGGCATATTCCATTCAGCACGCCAGCCGGTCGTGGGCAGACGGTCGTGGCCAAGGTTTGTCGGAGCACCGCTGCGCCGAGTCGGAGTGCCTGCCAGGCCTATCTGCCGAGCTCGCTTGGTCGGGGTCAGTGGAATCGTGGCCGTTGGAGCATTTCCCGGGTGTTTGTGGATCCAGCGTTCTTGTTCGTCGTGGTTTATTTCGAGTACTTTTTACTTGTTTTCTTGCTGCTTGTAGTCGGGACGCGTGAGAAGTGCACGTATAAAAATAAACGTCCGTAGGCCGTCACGACCAAGTAACTGAGCGACGCTGTCGGCCATGTTGATTTGATCGTAAGAAGTGCGTAAGACAGCTTCGGAGCTGTCGTAGGATTCCGTCGTAACCTGCGCAAAGCTTACGATAATTTCGTTTCGTGAATACGAATTTGTTCTTACGTTTTGTCTTACGCACATTTTTGGCGTAAGATCGTTTCGTGAATCTGGCCTCTGCACTTTCAAAAGTCGCGGGAAGGTGAGACAGACGCAGACGACGTCGCGAGCAGACGATGCTCAGATAGGGGGTCGCGATCAGCCAATCAGGGCTCGGCGTTCTGACGTCACCGCTACCCCCTGCCAACGTTATTAAATTACCTCAGTTGTGGAGCTCCCGCGGAGGGGGGCACCCCCCCTTACTCACTTCAATCCGTCAAGCGTCGTTCGAAGCCCCATATATATTTTCGTTTCATAACTGTGTTCCAAAGAGCACAGCTGAAGCGCCAAATGGCGATCAAACGCCGCCATTTACCCTGCAGCGGTCACTCGAGGAACTGCACCTAATATCCCTTTTGGTTGCAATCGGTCATTTCTGAACAGAAACAGATACAGTGGAAAGGGTTACAGGGATGCCACCCCCGTCTCCCCAGCGGACGCGCCGCGAATTCACCCCGAAGTTAAGATGAGCCTAGGTCGGGACGCGCTACCTGAAATCACCGCTGAGGCATGGTTGTATGAAAAATATATTATTGAGCCGGAAAACCTAGCAAACTAAAGATTTTAGAAAACATCACGCGCCCCCCATTTTGTACTAAACTCCAATAAAAGTTACTACAAAAAGAGTTTTTTTCCGTTGGTTTTTACGTTTCTAGTAACGTTGAAACGTACGTATCTTGATTCAGTTACCAAAGCAGCCGTCTGGCGGCGCGTCGAGCGACGCTTGGCGAGTCGTGGTGAGTGAGGGGGGGGGTACTGTTCGTGCGTGCGGCGTCTATGAGCAGCTCCGTAACTGAGGTAATCTAATAACGTTTAGGCTTAGGAACGGCCAGAATCAGGGACGGTCTTTAAAATGGGGCGGGCCCATCGCTCATTCTTTGTGACTTGAGCCAGATAAAGCAAAGCGAAAGCCCGTTGCACAATTATTTGGCAATTATATTGGCTAATACTGCAGCGGTCATGACGAATTCGCTCCGAAGCGATCGGAAAGGGCGCCGCCATGTTTGCCGACGCAGCCCGGCCCTAAGCAATTGGGGGCCCCACGCTATTTCTCAAATTGTGCGTTGGGGGCGAGCGCCAACCCAAAACCCCGAACGGAGTTTGGGTTCTGAGCTTGCGCAGTGTGGACCCCTATTTCTTTGGGGCCCCCAAGCTTTGGGGCCCCTTATTCTAGAACTCTCCAATAACTCTATGGTGGCGAGGACGATCGGCACAAGCGGACAGAGCGTGTGGAACGCCGACCGGCGCGTTGTGTGTGTGTGTGTGTGCGCGTGTGCGCGTGTGCGTGTGTGTGTGCGTGTGTGTGCGTGTGTGTGCGTGTGTGTGTGTGTGTGTGCGCGCGTGTGCGCGCGCGCGTGTGTGTGTGTGTGTGTGTGTGCGTGCGTGCGTGCGTGCGTGCGTGCGTGCGCGCGCGTGCGTGTGCGCGTGCGTGCGTGCGTGCGTGCGTACGCGCGCGCGCGCGCTTCGTCCACTATAATGTAAAAGTAATTTCTACTTATAAATTCCAATTCTTCAATTTTAATACAAGCTACGCCCATTGTGATTTCTCGTACTATTAGAGGGCATAGGTATCTTGCAGTCGTTAAAATAAATATAACACTTTTTCAAATATCCTACAGTCACTAATTAGAAAACCCCAAAAAATTAAGAAAAAAAGTTGGCTTACGGGTACTATAGACTAACTCTCTGGCGTCAAGGCACTGCAGTGGCGATGCCGTCGGCACTGCTCATGTGCAGACGCTCCACTTCTCCCGAATTTGTTTCCTGTGCACGTGCAGTGCTACCCACACCTGGTGTGAATAAAACGGTCTTGTTTGTTAACAGTGTGGGGGTGTATATAGAAGTAGCGGCACGGAAGCCTCTTTCTCATGCATGTGGATGTGTGCGTGGATGTGCATGTGAGGCCTGCACAGCCGAACACGGCTCGCAGACACTTGCATCACCAAATTCACAGGCGAAAGATGGGGAAATCACCATAAACCGGAACTTTGAAGAACATCTTATAAAGAACTGCGTGATTGACTTTTTTAGTAACACGCCTGTTCCGTGTTCTTTTATTTATCTATTTTTTCCTATCAGGAATAAGCTTCTGTCCTGCTGGAGCCAGTCTTTCCTGACAGGCGTTCCTAGGGTCATGGTCGGCTTTCGGACTGCGTATGGTGAGGTGCAATCCGTCCAGGAGTACAGCGTCGAGGAGATGCCATCCCTCGCCAGGGTGACTGCAATACCTGCCTTACTTCTTACCCATATTTCCAATCACACATTTCTTTAATTTGAACGAGTACAATATGGATCATGCCTATGTGTAATGAGAAAGCCGGGCAATGAAGTTAGAAAGATGTGGGATTCCCACTTGAAACTTCTTTCACTTTGTTCATTCTGGTGACATTTTTTTTTTATTTTGTGCTTTTGTCACATATTTCTTTCTCATCTTATCCTCGCCTTCAAGCTAAGAACGAGGCACAAGCTGCTTGTTTGCAGAGAAAGTCACCTCTCTAACTAACAACAAGCAAACAATCGCTCCTCATGTACAGATGTGTTAGCACAGTTACATGGTTATAGGAGAAAATTTTATAGGTTTCGTTAACACGGTGTTTTCACAGTACACTCTAAAACCATTCCGCTCTTGAAAGGTACCTCGACGCCTCAATAACTATATACAGCTCGTGTGGAACGGTTTCGCATTAAGCACTATCGCCTGCTGGCGTACTAGAGAGGCAACTGGGCGATGAAGCACACTTTCGCATCACAAAAGGAGCTTAAAAAAATCCCTTATAGGTTTTTCACAAAGAAGGTTTAACAGCGTGTTTAAAAGAACTTTTTAGGGGGCAAAACATGGACAAGCCGAAGAACCCCTAAGAGTTGGTTTGCAACCAGGTGTTTTTAGAGTGATATATTTTCAGCATAGGTTGAACGGGTCAATGATGTGAACCGGCACTTCTGTGATAGTACAGAGGTCACTGTTTTCGAACCATTCTCACCAACACGTGCTAGTCTTTTAGTACTACGGTTAAAAGTTTTGAATAGCTGAACGTTTGCATTAGTGTTCTGGTGCCTGAAGACTAGAACAAAAAATTTACATTTCACATTTATTTCAAAGAAACAGCATAAGGATATTCTTTAAGAAATTGCACCTTGTTTTCGGAAGTTGTTTATTTTAAGTAAATTTAACTTGGCGCCGCATGGGCCTCTATCTTTTGAGTCTTGAACCCCTAATTATTAGCAACTCGCAAGTTGAGCATTTATACAGATGTATGGTTCATTGGGTCCCAAACCAGTAATTGGTGTTTCAGACAACTCCATAAAAATCTGAAGGTAGTAATAAAAGGCAGTTAAAAATAGACAAAAAGACCAATCGTTTCAACCTAAGAAACGAGGTCACAAGTTTGAGACAAGCAACAGTTGCCGTTGACTTCAAGTTCCAAAGTTGTCGAAACTTAAGAAAATTAATAAAATTTGGAGAATGGACAAAAATTGTAGTAAGCGCCTGATATTTAGTTCTATAGCTTAACTGGTAAAAAGTAGGAGAGCGACAAAGCAACACACGACAGCGCAACTCGTTCGAACTAGCACGCGCCAAAATAACACAGTTCGGTGTAGAAACGACACACATCGACGAAGAGAGCAATAATTAATGGTAAGGTGTTAATGCAAAGTGCCCAAAAGGAACACATTATTTAAGCATATTTATCACTACATGTTTGCTTAATGTCACTGCCTCTACCATCCTAATGTCCAATAATTGACTCTAAAGTTACACTGCAAAAAGTTAATAAAGCAAGATGGTGTACAAAAACCATTGAGGATTCACACGGAGCAGTTATCTGGTTATACCTTATCTGTGGGACTCGCAAACAAGATCAGTGACCGCCTACTCGAGCCTCCGGCAACACACCTATTACTGAAGAGCTACTCCTGTTGTCTCTTGCAGGGGCAGTGGTCAGACCGAGTATGCCTCGGATTTCTCGACGAAATGCTGTCATTCGTAAAGGAGTGCGTGACCGAAGACGACCCAAAGTAAGTCGGTACAGGACAAAGGGAATCGTTGCCAGAACCTCGTTGAAGTTCCCACGGGGCTTACACGTTTTTGCTAAATATACCCCTTCATAACCCCATCAAGCAACATTGGCGGTCGGCATTTTTTGGGCACGAAGGATGCGATTGGACCCGAGTCCTGGCCGAACGTTGACGCAGCGTTCGTTTCCAATACGAGCTGAACCGAACTCGCGCAGAACGCTGACGCTTCCCTCGTGTCCAATACATGCTCAGAGCACGTGATCAATCAATCAATGACGGATTCGAATAACTGGCGCCGCAGCTACCATAGGTGGCGCACAATTTTGAAAATGGTTTATTGTGTGCTGGGCTGGGTTCGTGTGGCAGGGGCGTTTTTTCAGTAACTTCCAATCAAGCTCGGAAGCTCAGACCACAGTAATAATATTTCTCCAGTCAGGCGTGATTGATAATTGTTAATTCTTTTTTTCTCTCCCCTATGTTATACCAGGCAATGCGGGCAGAAACTGCGGAGTCGAGAGTGCCTGGGGACGTCAAAACGCCGAGCTCTCGTTGGATTGATTAGTGGGCAGACGCATAGCTGCCTGTGTCTCAAGTTCTCAACTGCACTCGTCGAATGCGTTCCAATGCAAAAGGTGAACACCGGACGACGCCGTTCAGCGTTCTAACGCGTTAGATGAGTGTAATGCCGACAAAGGCAGCTAGCTTCGCGTCTGCCCACTGATCATTTCAACCGGAGCTCAAGGTTCTGACGTCTCCGCGCGCTCCTTTCTCCTCGTCTTCCTCAGTGTCTGGCAGCATAGAGCCTTAGGCGGGTGGGTAGCTTCCGGTTCACATGCAAATTGCCTCAGGTTTTACGTTATAGACCTTTTCACCCTTCGTCGCACGGGCGCTGCCCTCTTGGAATCACGTGACGCGGCCGCCATAAGGTGGCTTCAAATCTTCGCTCCTCTCTCCTTTCCGCGCTTTGGCGAAGGCGTTGTATTCGTTTTTAATGCAAGCATTAAGGCCCCTTCTCACTCTTGCGACCTCTTAGAACTGGGCGCCTTGAAACCTCTTAAAACGAGAGGACACACTGGCGACATCTATTGGGTAGCAATGTAAACTTGGCGGTCCGGCATATTTTCTATTTCTCTCGTGCATTATCATTTCTTTTTTGGTTCGAAAAACTTTTGTCAACGTTATAAACAAGCCTTATACGTAATACGCACATTTCACCTCGGAAATCCCGCAAAAACCTTCGCTCTTGTGAAACGCAGTTCCAGGGTCACCGCATAGATGGCGCCGGAATGCCGGTGTGTTCAGAGCCGTATATGTAGAGAGTTTGGCCATTCGTTGGTAAGTATAGGAGACAAATGAGGAGGCGTCATTTGCCGAAAGCTGGCTGGGCGTGTTCCAGGGCGTCTTCAGAAATTTGAATCTGACCAACCAGAAGCCGGAAATATTACCCTGGTGGTGGTCGCGAGAAACAAACCTGATAACTGCATTGAAGTAACTCTCAATGGCTGAAAATATGGTACACGTCATGTTTCAATCACGCTCATCCAAAATGATGGTGGAAGAATGCGATTAGCGGAACGATCGACATAATCCGTACGCCAAACGCCGAGGGCCGGGAATCTGCCGTCAAAGCGGTCACACACTGTCCGCGCAAAACAGAGTTGAGCGGCGCATTCGTTTCTTACACCTTTCTGCATGATCATGATGAAAACAACACGTGCACCCTATTTCCAACCACAAAAAGTTACTACACTTCACTCTTTTGTACTTTTTAATACCATATACGAACATAGACCTTCGATGATCGATCGGCTCAGAACTGTTTCTCGCTACCACCGCTAGGGGATTCTTTTCGGCTTCTGGTTGGTCAAGAGAGCATGCCAAGCCCTCTTTCCGAGTCTGCCGCACGCCCTGGCTCTGCCCGCACCTCCCATTGACCAAACTCTCTACATATACGGCTCTGGGTGTGTTCCCTCGTCCTAAGAAATTTTAAGAGGTTTCAACAGGCCTCGTCTCTCTCGGTCGTACTCGGTTGCAAGAGTGTGAACGGGCCTTGAACTGTCTCATGGAGCGAGCCGACGTCATCAGCTTTGAAACCTCGCCAAAAGGCTCTTAAATTTTCTCCGAGTCAAGCCAGCTCCCATTCGCCGGTTTGCCACGGCACCTTTTACACCGCTTCGATCCTATTGGCTAGTACGCGCCGACCAGGATCCCATTCGCCGGACACGCAGCGCCATAGGGTGGCCGGTCGGTGAAACTGACGCTGCGCAAAATGACACACTTGCGACCTCTTAGAACTGGGCGCTTTGAGACCTCTTAAAGGGGCCCTGCAATGACTTTTTGACTGGTCTTTAATTTGCACTGAACCTGAGCGTGCTGAACGTAGTAACTTAATCCAACTTTTCTTTTCTCAAATTTCGCTTTATTTTAAAAGTTATAGGCAAATTAGAATTACAAAAACAAGCAAAAAATAACCTCCTTCATGACGTCGTAGGTCCTGGCTTGAGTGGCCTTGAACTAGAGGAGGAGGAGTGAGTATAGTGAGCTCATCGAGCGCACACGGCTGCCGCACTCCGTGTCGACGGCTCGAGAGGGCGCCACTAAAGCACGTGTTGGATAGGCTGTATGAAGCGGGCTGCCAGGGCAGCTCGCATTGCATTTACAGCGCGACTGAACACTAATTCGGCATAACATTTCATTGGCCACAAACGACAGCAAACACGGGGTAAAGATCAGTTCAGAACGGGAGCCACTTTGCGCTGACGCACCGCCAAATGGCCAAATCGCCACCAGGGCCCGCGCCGAAGGCCTTCGGAACGCTCGGATCCGGTCGGATTCTTGAGCCGGTATACGACCACAGCGCCGCCACGTACATCCGGGACCTTCTACGCTCCTCGTTTGCCGTAGCCTCATCCCACTAGCCTTTTCTAGTATGCGCCGTTTTTTTCCGCCGCTTGGTGGCGGGTATGTCGACGGGTCATTTCTCGTTTCCGTACTTTCTAAACTGCATTTGTTTCTTTTCTGATCTAAAATAGTGAACAAAAACTACTTTCATACATAATTGAAACGTTTCGCGACACTTATATTTTGTATCTCGACTAAAAAAAAGCTCTTAGCGGCTTTGACCAGTGGCAAGCCCAGGACCAAAGACGTCACATTTTGCGCGCTTTCGGTACCGCGGGTCGCCCTCGTCGGTGGAGGAGGTTTCCGCGTCGTCCGGTTAAAATATGACGTACTCATATTTAGTTACTCTCTCCGTGCCCGCTGGCTTGCCCCAACCCCAAGAGACGTGGAAACCGCAAAAAAGGTAGACACTTAAATATGATTGCAGGGCCCCTTTAAAACGAGAGGACACACTGGCGCTATTTATTGGGTAGCAGAGTAAGTAAACCTGGCGGTCCGGCATATTTTCTATTTCTCTCGCGCATTATCCTTTCTTTCTTGGCTCGAAAACCTTTTGTCAACGTTGTAAACGAGCCTTTCTTATACGTATTACGCACATTTCTCCTCGGAAATCTGGAAAAACCTTCGCTCTTGTGAAACGCAGTTCCAGGGTCACCGCATAGATGGCGCCGGAATGCCGGTGTGTTCCCTCGTCCTAAGAAATTTTAAGAGATTTCAACAGGCCTCGTCTCTCTCGGTCGTACTCGGTTGCAAGAGTGTGAACGGGCCTTGAACTGTCTCATGGAGCGAGCCGACGTCACCAGCTTTGAAACCACGCCAAAAGGCTCTTAAATCTTCTCCGAGTCAAGCCAGCTCCCATTCGCCGGTTTGCCACGGCACCTTTTACACCGCTTCGATCCCATTGGCTAGCACGCGTCGACCAGGATCCCATTCGCCTAGGGTGCCTACATGTCTGTCTGTCTCAGGGTGAAGACATCCATTGTTGCCCTGAATGTGCCAGCGCGTGACGCTCTCGCGCACTCGGTGCGTGACTTGGGCGGTAAAATGGCGTCTATGCATTAGCCAAAGCTACGCGCTCGAGCTGAGTGACACCGGATTGCGCGCACTTCAAAATGCATAAAAAAACGATCGGGCGGAAAAATGGCTGAGATGTCACCACTCACGCAAAGGAGCGCGTGTGTATGAAGGCACTCTACATTCGCCGGACACGCAGCGCCATAGGGTGGCCGGTCGTTGAAACTGACGCTGCGCGCCAGTTTCAACGACCGGATTAATGCACAGGTGCATGCGCGCTGGACAAGAATCATGATTATAATCCTTGGAGAAGGGGAACAAGGGGGACAAAGGACAAACTCAAATCTCGAAACACAGGGACTATAATCATCATTCTTGTCCAGCTCGCTTGCACCTTTGCAATAATTTCAGTGTCATAATAACATTAAAATGCAGGCCGTTCATCCTTGTTGGTGTTAGACTGGTGGCAGCTGACAAAACCCGTTTGCTCTACTGACGTCTAGCTACGGGTTCTCTCAGTTGGCAGAGAGCTCTACTGGAAATGGAGAGGTCCCCGGTTCGATACTAGGACCAGGCGGATTTTTTCGGTCGCACACCAGTCATCTAGTTGTGTTTGGAGATTTGTGTTTGTCCTTTGTCCCCCTTGTTCCCCTTCTCCGGGGATTTTAATTCTCACTATAATTAGGGTCCTGTTTTTTGGATAAATTAGAAAAATCTAAAAAAAAAAACACTCGCTCGTAAATTCTACATCAGATCGGATCCAAATTGCGAGGTCGCAACGGCAAAATAAAAAAAATCCTGATAAAATCTCGCTTCAGTTTTCTTTGAAATATCGAAATACTTACAAAGGAGATTTGCCTTTTATCTCGTCAAGGATCCTTCAGGACAACGGGTCATGGTAATCGGACTTTGTTTACTTTGTTTTTGACTAAAAAAAATTGGGAACACAATGAAATACGCATTGAATTTTCAAAGAATTTGGAATTTAAGAAAACTGAAGTGCAATAAACACAGAATTTAGAGACAAAAATAAACTCTAAAAAGCACCCTCCGAATTTGACAAGAAATAAACTCCCTAAACACGGAATCCTAGTTATAATTTATTTGTTTTTATACAATCGTATGCTGATGTAAATCTCGGATGTCACTTTCACCCAGGCCTTCCCAGCCAAAATAAGTACTGCCAAAGGTTGATATTCGCTACGCCCAAACGACAACGATAATTAATTTCTCTTCCCTTCGGCATCGTTACATTGGCCACCATCCCAGATTTTATGCCAAAATTTCAATAGTTGGCATCGTTAAACCTACATCTAAAGGCATCATACTTTCTACTGTAGTAGATAGTAAAGAAAAAAGCTATGGGTTTGCTCTTTAAGGATGAGCATATTACAAGAACTGCTGCTAGACGTCTTGGAATTCACCGGTTAGGCGGACTGGCTCGAGGCAGAATTCCATCAAAACTCCCCAGCCTCACTGTCTCTTTACCCGGATTCAGCTTTTCTCAAAATCTTTCCCTCCCTTTCTCTTCACTCTCGTCTAATTCCCTCTGACTTCTTTTCTTTCTAATTTTACGAGAAACTAATACGTCACCGACGGCCTAAGAAACGCTTGGTGACTCCCAAGCTTATAAACGTCGCCCCGTAGTCAAGGAAAATGCGGGATTAGCCGATAAGAAAGCCCTAGTAGAAATCACGAGGTGTGAACATGATGAGCCACGACCTGCGTTTCTTTGTCTGGCAGTGACATCTAATCGATACCGCCTATAAGACAAGGTCTGAGCATGGCGTCATAATTACTGGTTCACTGGTTCACAAAATAACTCGAATTCCTATAAGTCTTAACATTTTGCGACTTGGTTATATGCCGAGCTTGCGAGCGTCTGCATGACATCCCTGAAACCGCATATACATACCGGAAAAGTTTAGGATAAACAACCGATAAATATACTAAAGTTTGCAGTTTCTTCGTGTCATACAATTGCCGGCAAAGCGTTAGTAATATTTTAGCTATATGTTTTTTTGTTTTTTTGTTTTCTTTCAGCGCGGTGTACCTGTTCACCTTAGACCCCAGACAAGACCCGAAAGTGGTCTGCAAGAAGCTTTCTGATCCAGGCGAATTTCAGATCCTATCGTCATCGTATTTGAATGCACTTGGCCATTGATTTGATATTTGCAAGAAGAAAAGAAAAACTTTGTAGGTAACTGGGTGCTAAAGATTGAAAAACCCTCGACAAAAGGTGTCTTGCGTCACGAACGTTGCGTCATTCGCGTCATTTGTCATACAAACGTGACATGGGTTGCCTTTAGAGAAGTTTTAAACTGCTCAAATGCTATGCAGAGCACTGACCGAGGCGTATTGCAGGCAGGGATTGGTGCGTATTATATATCAGAAAATAAAAGTTTGCTTCCCCCCATTTCCCAGTATCCCAAATGTTTCAGTGAAGACTTTCAATATTTTTTGCAAACAAACTGCCATCCACGACGGACGCCAGAGATTGCAAGGAAAAATATACTAATTGGCTATATATTTAACTATAATTTACGAATTAAAAATTTAGTTAGTCAAAATAGATTAAAAACTTGCTGACCGTCATTGTAGATTTTAGCCAATTATGTCTTTTCCTGTAAGAAAATACCGCTGACATTCCAGTTGATTTTGTCATGATTCAGATCCTAGATGCCATACGGTGAAGTTGAATGGCTCTACGTAATGCTTATAAGAATGCGTGCCCTGTGAGAATTTATTTTACGGAAAATGTGCGCCGTGTTAAAGCTGTGCACTCTATCTTAGCTTGTCCGGTTGAAGTCTTGAACGTTTAAAAGAATTTTAAACTTTATGTTCGCGTTGTTTGTTTTACCTTTATAAATGTTTTGTATTTCTTTGTCAAAGCACAAAATAAAAAGAAGAAAAAAAATCATTTTTGTGGCGATTTTGTTGCCGGTTTTTACCAAGTGCGGACTTGGGATGTTGGGCTCCACCGGAGCACCTTCAGCGACACAGCCGGGCCGCGATGACAGGTATGACTCAGCTTAGACTGAGTTTAAGATTTTCTTGCCGCCACTGCCAACCGGTTCTGCGGTTTCGAACACCGTTTTCTGCAAAATAACGTCCGGGGCCGCCAGTATCGTGCGGAAGACTTCGATGACACCCTGAGTCGTCTGGCACTGCTCCCCGAAGTCATCACTTTAGGGGCGTAACAGATGAACCACGTCTGGGATGTGACTTCCAAGTCACCCGAGGGTAAACGGAGGGTTCCCACGACGGAAGATCTTGTTGTCAATGAACGGCGGTGCATCGTCATCGATCCGGGCATCCGGGACCACGTGCCCCATGAGGAGGTGAGGGCGGCACTCGCACCGTATGGCAAGGTGACCGAAGTGGGAACCTAGAAGTGGCCTGTGCAGGACGTGGTGGGCTGTGCGTCGATGACGCGTACGGCCGTAATTCGGCTCAAGCCCGAGCTCGGTTTGCATGACCTGCCACACCAGCTGCGTATCGTCGGAGGGGTGATACCCGTCGTGGCGCCGGGCCGGGCACCGCTCTGCCTGCGCTGCCAGCGAACCGGCCACACCCGCAACGAGTGCCTGGTGCCGAAGTGCGAAACGTGCACCCGGTTCAGACACGACGGAGATTAGTGCGTGAGAACGTAGAAATCGGCCACGGGTTCTGGAGAAGGGGATGCAACGCCAAGCTCTTCGTGGTCCAAACGGATCCGGAGGCGGCGGTAAAGGGGCGGCTGCCGCCATTGAGACATGCACGGATGGCATGGGTAAGAAGAAAAACGACCGACCCGCGCCGGAACGTACACTGACGACGGCTAACACCACACCGATCGCCGAGACCCCAGCGAAACCTGAGGACGAGACCTCGAGCAAGGACGAGGGAACGGCGGCACCTAATAAAGTGACGGAGAAAACCAAGGGGCAGCAGGGCAACGAGGTGCACATGGACGATGCCAGTGCGCTGGCCACGAAGTGACCGCTTCAGTAGGGCACAGAGTCGTTTAAGGTCGACAGTTTCACGAGTCCGTCGAAGTTGCCGGGGCGAAGACGGTGCTGCATAAAGGCCTGTTCACACGCTTACAAGCGAGTAGGACCGACTGAGAGTCTTGGACAAGACCGGGTTTTAAGCCTCTTCCGACGGCTTTCGACCGGATGAGCTGCTGCTTGCGAAGCTGGTCCTAAGCCGTCGCAAGAGGCTTAGAAACCGGTCTTAGTCGGTCCTACTCGGTTGCAAGTGTGTGAATGGGCTTTGAAAGGAAGCCGCAGTTAAGACTTCCACCAAGTGCTGCTCCCGAACCCAGGGGCCCGAATAAAGGCGAATCCAACCGAGTGCAACTGCAACGGCTTGCGGCGACGAGTTCTTACGGCAACAGCGGGTCGGCTCCAAAAAAACGGGGTAAAAACAGGTTTTGTTGGAGCCGACGCAGCTGTTACCATAGCAACCCGTCGTCGCAAGCCGTTGCAGTAGCACTCGGTCGAACTCGGCGCAAGTGTGTGAATAGCCATTAAGCCGGCCGGCTGACGCAGCCCCGAGTCAGGTTACTAGAGCATGGCAGTCTCTGACTCGGGAGGACGACTACTTAGTTCTAACCTTAAGGCTCGTTCACGCTCTTGCAACCGAGTACGACCGAGAGAGACCAGACCGGTTTTTAGGCCTCTTGCGATCTCTTAGGATCAATTAAGTACAAAACGAGTGTGTTGGTAACAGTAATTAAACATGAGGAAGATATATAGAAAGGGGGGGACGGACAACGAAGACTTCCACACCAGGATCAAACTCCGAGGTCGGTTGCTTGGGACAAGACATGAGAGCTCACGTGAACGAATTAAGTACAAAACGAGCGTGTTGGTAACAGTAATTAAACATGAGAAAACATAGAAAGGGGGACGGACAACGAAGACTTACGACCAGCTCCGCTGCACCGCATCCGGTCCTAAGAAGTCGCAAAAGGCTTAAAAACCGGTCTGGTCTCTCTCGGTCTTACTCGGTCGCAAGAGTGTGAACGGGATTTTATCGTCGTTAGCGATAAAGCTGAAGGTAGCGAAACTGAATGTTATTGGGACCGAGCAGTGTCCGCAGTGGTGGAGGGGCGACTCGAGCCAGGCACTGGACTGCACCCAGCGAGAACGATGAGGAACCGCGATCTCCTTCGAAATGCACTCTGCTTATTCACATGATGTATTGTGCAGATTGTTCAAAAGTTAAAAAAATCTCGGCAGCCGTCCGCTTCCGCTTCTTAAAAGGTTTTATTTTTTTTTGCCACACGTTTTATTATTATTATTACTATTATTATTATTATTATTATTATTATTATTATTATTATTATTATTATTAATGGCGGCGAAGTTCGAACTCCGCCCCTTTCCTGCCCATGCAGCATACAGAATAATTAGCGCCGAGGCACTCCTTGTGGAAAGGCCCGGCCAAGGAGGTTACAGAAGACTTCAGGAGTGGCGGTCTCCCGCACTCTCCCATGCGACTGCGGGTGAAGCCAAGTTAAGGGGTGTCCAAACAGGACACTACAAAACGCACGACTCCGACAAATCGTGAAAATTGAAGCGGACACGCCCGCTTCGCGCCCGCTTCAATTTTCACGATTTGTCGGAGTCGTGCGTTTTGTAGTGTCCTGTTTGGACACCCCTTTAACCGGTCGGCGGCCATCTCTGGGAAAAAAAAGAGGCGGCGCTGAAGCGGCGCGACAACTTTTCTTGGCAATGCAGTGGAAGGTACAGGCCCGCGTCCCCTCTCCGATTTTGAGTGTGTGCGGGCTCTCCTCCTCTCCCCGGAAATGGGGGAGGAGGAGAGCCTGCGTACACTCAAAATGGGAGAGGGAACGCGGGCCTGTACCTTTCACTACATTGCCAAGAAAAGCTGTGTATTACAAGGAAAACAAAACAATGTTTTATTTTGTTTTAAAGGCTCGAAGGACATTTAAGACACGTTGGATTTATTTTTCTCGGGTATCTAATTATAACTTTGAAGGTGAAGAACCAAAATATAGTTCCTTGTTTTTTTAATATGGTTGTAAACAACTCACATCTTCCGGGTTTTTTTTTTTAATTCTGGATTTTTTTTATATATTTTTTTTTTGCAGGATTTACAAGAAACATAACGCACACGATGATGGCTGGTTCCGCGAATAATCTTCCCCATGGTAATGAATACATAGCATATACCTCTCACGGTCGCGAAAATTCGCGTACGTGAACTATCACCGAAACCGGCACTTTGAGAAATTAGAGAAATAAGGAGCTCGCGAAAATAAACTCGTTTATAGTACTTGTTTTGCAGATGCACGGCTTCTGTAAGCGCACAGTATCAACGTTTGGATGTAACTAACTAAAATACAAAATAAGCGTTCAAGTCCTTACGATACTCACTGCTTTCCGCAGATGCAGGAAACAGTCGGACTGTTACCCCGTCGAGGACCTCTCGTTTGACCGCTTGCGTCCAAGCAGTCATCTTCAAAGTGCACCGAACAGAGAACGTCAATATTCTTAAGGGCCTGTCACACTGAGGCAACAGTTGGACAACTCTATCCGGCAACACGGGGAAGTCGTGTTGCCGGCGACCCTGTCACATCAAGGCAACAACAACAGTCGGGCAACATGTTGCTGCCGCCCGGCAACCGTGTTGCCCGATTTGTTGTCCGACAACCCTGTCACACCGCGCTGTCGGCGAGGACAACACGGGGAATACTCCGCCATCTTGATTGTTGACCTTCGTTTGTGTGCGTCGCGGAATCGCTGGAAATGTGACTATACAAAGTGCTAGTGCGTTCGAAGGGCCGGGAATTACCACGGTATGACATCAACCAGTGACTGTGATTAGAAAACTTGACACAGGGAGTATTTTTCGCTCTTTATTTTATCGAAATGTTCTTCATTCGCTGACAAAGCAGATAGCCCTAACCGAGGAAAATGACATCGCTGGTGTATGTTCGGGATTTACGCCACCGTATGAAGTGATTCTGTCCGGTTCTTTCATAATCCCTATTTCTACTCTAAAATTGCGTTAGCACCGGCAGTACCCCAAAGCGTCTTTTGTAACGTGGCGTTGAGCTGAACTGACAGTGCTTCAAAACTGCGACACCGACACCATCGGCCTTCATAACAATCGGTGAAAAAAATATTTTTCAACGCTGAGTACTGGCCTACAACTGCTACGTGATCGCTTCATTCCCCCGAAACGTCCTGGGTATTTTTAAAACAAATCAGGTGTCTGGTAGCGGCTGTTTCCAAGTTTCAAGCATCAACAATCATGATGAGATTGGTCGTTTTATGCTTCGATTTTTTAATCTTAGGTTTTCTGGATTATTTTTATTATACTTTATTAGCGGGTGAGTAGGCATGTCATTTCATTTCACTATCCGTAATGTGAGCTGGTCTTTCGGGAGTTCTAATTTTAAAACC